GGTACTTCCGTCAAATCCATGTCCCTCCAACTTAGAGACAAGGATGCCATGTGGGACTGTGTCAAAGGCTTTGCACAGGTCCAGGTAGATGATGTCAGTTGCCCTTCTTTATGCACCAGCGCTGTGGCCCTGTCGTAGAAGGCCACCAAATTTGTCAGGCACAGTTTTCCCTTGGTAAAGCCATGTTGGTTGTCACCAACCACCTGCTTGTTTTCCATGTGCCTTAGCATAGATTCCAGGAGGATTTGCTCCATGATCTTGTCAGGGACCGAGGTAGACTGCCCGGTCTGTAGTTTCCCGGGTCTTCCTTATGCACCAGCGCTGTGGCCCTGTCGTAGAAGGCCACCAAATTTGTCAGGCACAGTTTTCCCTTGGTAAAGCCATGTTGGTTGTCACCAACCACCTGCTTGTTTTCCATGTGCCTTAGCATAGATTCCAGGAGGATTTGCTCCATGATCTTGTCAGGGACCGAGGTAGACTGCCCGGTCTGTAGTTTCCCGGGTCTTCCTTACTTCCTTTTTTAAAAATGGGGGTTATGTTTCCCCTTTTCCAGTCTTAAGAAGTGTGGCCAGCGGGTTGGGGGAGGTGATTCTGCCCCTCTGCTCCCGGTGACACCCCACCGGGAGTGCTGCGTCCAGAGCTGGGAACAACATGGACCTATTAGAGTGGGTCCAGAGGGGGGCCACAAAAGTGATCAGAGGAATGGAATACCTCTCCTATGAAGAAAGACTGAAACTGTTGAGGTTGTTCAGCCTGGAGAAGGCTCTGGGAAGACCTTATTGTGGCCTCTCAATATTTGAAGAGGGCTTGTAAGAAAGATGAAGACTTTTATCGGGGCCTGTAGTGACAGGACAAGGAGCAACAATTTTAATCTGAAAGAGGGTAGATTTAGCTTAGATATAAGTAAGAAATTCTTTACGGTGAAGGTAGTGAGACACTAGAACAGGTCGCCCAGAGAAGTTGTGGTTGTCCCTGTATTGGAAGTGTTCAAGGGCAGGTTGGACAGGGCTTTAAGCAGCCTGATTTAGTTGAAGATGTCCCTGCTCATTGCAGGGGGGCTGGACTAGGTGATCTATGAAGATCCGTTTCAACCCGTACCATTCCGTGATGCTGTTGTTGCTCTGTGACTAGACTTCATCTCTGCTGCCAGAGTTCTGCTTTATTCAAGAAAATGAAATGTACGTGTAACGTAACTGTAGATCTTTGTTCAAGAGCCTAGAAGAGGCTTGGGAAGATGGTAATGAGATGCTTTGTTTTCATGCTGATCAGATACGGTATAAACACTGATGTTTTGTACATACACTGCAGCTGGTGTTCCCATTTTGTGCTAATGATATCTCTTGCATTTGACTTCATAGCCAGGTGTGGAGCTTTTTTAACATAACTTTTAAGGAAAGCTGCCACAAGTGTCAGAAGTGCTGTGTATTGAATAATAGTGTTTTACTGGGTCATGGCTTGGAATTCTGGTCTCTGTCTTTTTGCATTAGGTTTTAAGAGTGATAGTTTATCTGTTAAAGCAAGTTCATAGTTGGTGTGTCACTACAGTTTAACCTCTGCCATATTGGCTTCTCACAGGTTGAGTTGTACTGTTGACGTAGACAAGAAAATAAGTTCTTAACTCAGCTTTCTGTATAGCAGTTTATACCTCAGCATGCATTATTCCAGCAGGTCATCAGTCTCTTGTCAGTTTGTCTAAGCAGACAGCACGGGTTATTTAAATGTTACCTCATTTCTAAAGATAAAGTGCAAAAGACTCATCGCGGCAGTACATTGAGAAGCTGAGCATTTATACTGACTATTCTGTGATTTGTCTGAAAGAACTCACTTTTTGTTTTCTTTCAGATTATTTAGAGTAGGTCTTTATTTGTTTTCTCATTCTTTGTGTATGCATGTGGTCTTTGCCATTGTCACAACTGTTTGATTCTGTGCTTTTGTTGGCTTTGAGACGGACTGTTGCATGATAAAGCATCAATCTTACAAGATTTAATTTTTAGGCCTTTTTTAAAGTTACATATATATGAAAGACAAAACTGAAGCCCCTTGCTTGAAGTTTAGGGAATGTTTCCAAGAAGCATGAGTTTAAGCACAACTGAATATACTCTGCATACCACTTCAAGACAGATTTTTGTTGTGATCTAGCATACTTTATTGATTCTTCTGTTCAGAGATGGCACCTTCTGCTTTCCATGTGCTGTGTGTCTATACCTTAATTCATGTCTCTTCCTCCTTATTATTTCGTCTCCATAAAGTGTTCAGTTGAGTGGGGCTGGCTAAAACTTAACTTAAGTGTGACCATGTGGCTTAGTTAATAATTGCTTAATAACATTATTCTCTGTATTTGCCAGCAACAGTGTGCCAGAATCTTGGATGATCTTGAATTTTTAAAATAGATGCTAACACTTGGAAAGCTTTCCATTTTGGTTCATATGTTATTTTATTTTTGCAGCAATCTGACAGAAGCTGATGGGCAGCAAACACACAGAACTGTAGGAAGTTATCTGATGATACAGTAATACATACAAAATAGGTATTGCAATAGCTAGTACAAATTTGCAGTAGTTGTATCAAATAAGAATGTGCCCTTTTAAAAAGCGTTTTTTTAATGTTTGATATGTTTTCTCACAGTAGCTTATATCTAGGATACTGAGTATTATTGGCAAGTAAGCGAAAAGTCACGTGTGGAATTAGAAGATCTAGGCTGAGTAATTCAGTGCCAGAACAGGCCCCGTTAATGTAGGTGAAAAACCAAGAAGAATTTCCAAGACTAGAGAATAGTTTGTAATAATATATAACATTATACAATAATGTATGACATTGTGTATAATGCATAATTACTTTTTTCTTTCTAATAGGAAGATATCTTTCGCCAGATTGTCTACATTGGACTTTATCTCTTTCATATTGCTGGAGCCTATCTCCTGAAGTAAGTCAATTGTAAGCTTTTGCTGGCTTCATGCACTGTCTTAAGCATCTAACAAAATGTTTGAATGTTTGTTTTATTTGTTTTGATAGTCTGACCCATCTTGGACTTGTTCTTCTGGTATTGCATTACTTCGTTGAATTTCTTTTCCACATATCCCGTCTTTTCTACTTCAGTGATGAAAGATACCAGAAAGGGCAAGTAGTCTTTATCTTTTAAATTCATGTAATTTCTGTCTCAAAGCCTTGGGTATTTAGCTAACCAGAAACCAAAATTCACAAAGACATTCAGCAGTGTTTTCTTAGAGGCCACAGTTCTCCAGACTAGTGTTACTATTTCTATCTCTAAACCAACTATTTTTTTACCTTATTTGTCTATTTAAGTAAATGTTAGTAGCAGTATAAAATGAAATAAAATGTTACACCATGTACTAATGTTAAGAAAAAGCAACTTTCTGTTGAGTTGAAATTAGTTTTCAGTACATACCTTGGTTTGTAGAAGAAGATTGTGAGGAAGGGCTTTTCTTGCTTTTTGTCTTCTATAAATACTAGAAATACAAGACTAGGATAGGTGCAAAATAATTAATTTAGCTAAGTTCTTAAATTTCAGATATATTCACATGGTGAAGAGTAAACGTTTGTGTTGTTAATACCTGTGAACAGAAAATTAATTTAGTATTTGTGGTGGTTTTCTTTGTAGGTTTTCACTGTGGGCAGTTCTTTTTGTTTTGGGAAGGCTTCTCACCTTGATTCTCTCGGTCCTCACTTTTGGCTTTGGACTGGCAAGAGCAGAAGATCAGCAGCTGAATTTCAGTACTGGAAACTTTAATATCCTGGCTGTTAGGTATAGTAAACTTGCAATGGTTCTTAAGCATGAGCTGTAAACCTGTGTTAAATAAACAATAAATGGTATGATCTTAACGCTAGTAATTCTGAATGGTTAGGTGTTTTCATGCAACCGATGGGATCAATAGGAATAGCTTCTGTAACAAACTTGTAAGGCACAGTGAAAAGAATTGAAGAATTTACAGTCTGCAGCTGAGAAATCGCTAACTGGTTACTCATTTTTTTTCATTAAAAAAAAAAAAAACCCAGAATTAAAAGGAATATCCAATTACAGGGATTACTAGTGAATTGAATTCTAGATATAGTTGCAGTGAGTTTATCCGTAGAGGTCAAGGCATTATGCCCAGAGCATCTTTGGTCCTGGCTGAAGATTTCTACCTCTTTCTTTGCCTTTATTACAGCTCCTATTGCTGCTATGTGATACAGAGCGTTCAGCCAACCACCTGGCCTTTTTATACATCAAATCCAGAAAAGAAAGTTATTGAAACATTGACAGTGTCAGTATTCCATGTGGAATTGATACTCAGAATCGCAAGGCTCTCTTACACTATTTTCAGCTCTTACTGGCTGGTACCTTGAGAGTAACACTGAGAAAGGAGAAAGTAGGAAAGAAATCTAGTGTTACCCAGTTTTTAGAGGGGCACAGACCTCACTCTCATGTATTTAGTTTTGTTCAGCTGTGCTAAGCCCAGTCACCCTGTGTGAGGTAACTCTTGCATGGCTTAGAAAATGGATGTTATTAGGAGGAGGAGAAGGCACCAAAAAAACCCCAAACCCTAAACTTTTTACAAAATAGTGTTATCTAGAAGGAATCACTCTAATGCGTTTGAGAAACCTGAGGAGAAAGGCAGTTCATGACATAAAAAAACCTATCAGAAGTGGTGTTCTACTTTCCTTTTCTATTGAATGAGATAAACTTACAGATAAACTTTCGCCTGTGTTTTGTTTCTAGAATCAGTGTACTGGCCTCTATCTGTATGACTCAAGCATTTATGATGTGGAAGTTCATTAATTTCCAGCTTCGGAGATGGAGAGAGCATTCTTCTTCTCAGCCTCAGTCAGTGAAAAAGAAGTTTGTAACAACTAAAGGAAAGACCTCCAGAAAAGAAAGAGGTTTGTATTTTCAGATTTCCTGTTGCCTTGACTTCTCAAAAACAACTTGAGATAATGCAGAGATTTTTTAAAATATAATTGCTGAAGAAACGTTTTATGTTTCACTTACAAGTGAGATAACTCCGTTTCAGAAGCAGTATTGGTGAATATTGTTGGGGTTTTTTTTTAATTAAAATATTTACTATATATTAATTGTTTGGTTTTTCTCTTCTAATTGAATGAAGGAATTACCATTTCTTTGGTTAATGCAACATGAAATTTTTATTATGCATAATTCTGTTACTTGAGCAAAATGTGCCATGCCTATGTTTTGTTCCCTTATAAAAAGAGAACAGACATATTTTTAGATCTGTTCTCATAATTAATTACTTCTAAATTTTTCTTGCAATTAATTTCAAGCTTGTTTATCATTGCTGCTAAACTCAGGTTTTAGGGCAAGGAGACAGTTTGATCATCCAGTAAGTAAGCTTGTATTGGCCTGTTTTTACTAAAAATAGAATTTTGATACTTTTAAGGGGTGGTAGTAAATACTGACTACTCTAAACCTGTGTAGAAGCATTTGGAAACGAACTAGGGACTCCAGGTTTGACTTCTTGATTATGTCACACTCTTTATGGAAAGGACATGAAAGATGAACTAAATGCTTTTTCCTCCAAGGAAAATTATGTACACCATTAAAAAAAAACTAAGTCCCCACACTTCAGTATTTCTATTGTACCAACAGTGAAACTTCTGTGTATGTAATTGCTAGCTTGAGTAACTTGTGCACTTTTTTGAAACTCCTTGTGTCATTTCAAAAGCTTATTTTGGCATGATCCTTTGCTACCAATCATGTATTGCCAACCTGTTCCACATTTTTTTTTATCTGTTGAACATAAGGTGTGTGAAGACATCTGCACTGAGAACTAAGATTTCTGGTCAGAGATAATTCAGTGTTGTTCGGTTTGTTTGTTTGTTTTTTCAAGTTTCTTTTTAAAATCATAGAATCACAGAATCATAGAATGGCCTGGGTTGAAAAGGACCTCAAAGATCATATAGTTTCAACCCCCCTGCTGTGGGCAGGGTTGCCTACCACTAGAGCAGGCGGCCCAGGCCCCCATCCAGCCTGGCCTTGAACACCTTCAGGGATGGGGCATCCACAGCTTCTCTGGGCAACCTGTTCCAATGTCTGAACACCCTCTGCATGAAAAATTTCTGCCTAATATTCAACCTAAATCTCCCCTCTCTTAGTTTAAAACCATTCCCCCTCATCCTGTCACTATCAACCCCTGTTAAATAGTCGCTCCCCCTCCTGTTTATATGCTCCCTTCAAGTACTGGAAGGCCCCAATGAGGTCTCCCGGGAGCCTTCTCTTCTCCAAGCTAAACAAGCCCAGTTCCCTCAACCTTTCTTCATAGGAGAGGTGCTCCAGCCCTCTGATCATCTTTGTGGCCCTCCTCTGGACCTGCTTCAAGAGCTCCACGTCTTTCTTGTGCTGGGGACCCCAGGCCTGGACACAGTACTCCAGATGGGGTCTCACAAGAGCAGAGCAGAGGGGGAGAATCACCTCCCTCTCCCTGCTGGCCACCCCTTTTTTAATGCAGCCCAGGACATAGTTGGCCTTCCGGGCTGCAAGCGCACACTGCTGGCTCATGTCCAGCTTCTCGTCCACCAGGACCCCCAAGTCCTTCTCCACAGGGCTGCTCTCAAGGAATTCTTCTCCCAGTCTTCTGTACAAGTACCTCGTGCTTTAGAGTATTTTTTTTGTCAGAAAAATCCAGTTGAACTTTTGGTTTGGTTTGGGTTGTGTTGTTTTTTTTAATGGAGTGAAGGTAGTTTTCTATGTAGGTGTCCTCCTTAATCAGAGCTTCATGTTCATTGTGTCTTACTATGGTTTATGTAGAATTAATATAAATCTCCTATGACAAATATTTTTAAAGCATAAACTTTAATGGCATTTTAGTCAGTGAGTCAAAAGCTTTTTAAAATATCTTAAACTGTTTCATGTGATTTGATGAATTTGCTTGTTTTCACTGAACTTCAATGGAAACTTGCAAGTGGCAAATGAATAGTGAAAGAGGCAGTTAATTGGAATGGTGGTTATATTCACAAAATAATTGAGCTCTGCCTATCTTAAAGACTGCAGAATTTTACAGCTTATTCTAAGTGGAAGTAAAAGAACGTTATAATCTGAAAGGTTAGTGGCGCTTCAGATTCTTCTGTTTTGAAGATTCCCATAATGTTGTCTGTTCAGAACGCTTGCACAGGATGCAGCAAGACAGTGTTTTTGAATTAATAATACATGCAATTAAACTGTTTAAAACAGACTTTTTTTTGTGGGTGGATGGATTTTTGGGAGACAGAGTACAGTAAAATGCATTACATTTAGGCAACATGCTGATTCTTGTTCTTTGTTTTACTTACACTTGTTTTGACTTAACTGTTTAAGAAAATATGATTTTAATTAGCTGGCTTAGATCTAGCTTATTGTTTGTAAGCTTCTTAATCAAGAAGCTTACAAATAACACAGAAGTATCCAAAGACCACCTTATAGAGGCTTAAAATGATGGTGTCATTTACAACCAAATATATTGGATAGACTATTACTGTTCCTATGTGACGAATTGGGCCTGTGTCTGGTCTCATTCTCATGTATGTTTCTGCCTTTTTTTTTTTTTTTTAGTGTTTATTTGCCTAAATGAGAACATTTGGGTGTAGTGGGGGAGAGCAGGAGATCAATGGTTGTTTTTGTGGACTGGCCACACTCTGTGGTGATCTGCAACACATCTGCAGATGGAAATCATTAATTGAACCAGTTGCTTGTACAAAAAAACTCAATGGTTGCTTGAAGTCAGAATGATACCTTAAGTCAGAGCAGAGATGTTAAGCTGCAAGCATTATAGCTGGCTATGCACTCTGCTCTTTGATTTGTTTTATAAATATGGTTACTGTCAGGCCACATCTCCACTTCTGTGGGTTGTGGTGATACTGAATAAAGGGGATACTTTTAGTTCACAGTGGTATCATGTTTCCTGTAAGTTGTGTGCATTATGAATCCATAGATGGTGGATCATTGTTCTAGGGAAAACTTTTGCTACCAGATAGTCATTGTGGTACCTGTACAGATTAAAATTCTTGAGACCTTTAAATTGGCCCAGAAGTGGGATAGAAGTAGAGAGTTGCAGCTAGTAACACCTTCCTGCATTGTGCTCGTAGATAAGTGCCTGGTCTTGTTCAGGGAAGTCTTTCTGTATACACATACGTAGTGTTTTACTTCTGTCCATCTTATCTATGTAAATAGCTTTGTCAGAACATAAATGAATGCTATATGTTGAAGTATACTTTAATAATTGTGTGTGTATGAGTATATAAAAATTTCCCATATATATGAAAAGCTTGTAAAGGTAAGTGAAGGCATGTAATTTTAGCAAGAATTAAAATACGAAACAGGTGGGATGAACAATAAAGACCTGTACCAGAGAATTGTATATATGCTGTGTGTCTCCAGAATTTCACAGGACAGTCTCATCTGCAGGTCGAGTGTTCTACTTTTGAAGATAATATCTTCTAAAATATTTTAGCTCATCTTGATTTTTCAGTCTAGATGCATATACTGAGCATATTTCAGTCTGGCAATGTCAGGAAACTGGACTTTATAATTTTGTACTCTGTAAAAGCTCCATTATACTGTTACATTATGAATTATAATGATGAGGTTTAACAAAGAATCACAGAATCACAGAATGTTAGAGATTGGAAGGACCTCGAAAGATCATCTAGTCCAATCCCCCTGCCAGAGCAGGAACACCTAGATCAGATCACACAGGAACGCATCCAGGCGGGCTTTGAATTGTGTCCAGAGAAGGTGACTCCACAACCTCTCTGGGCAGCCTGTTCCAGTGCTCTGTCACCCTCCCCGTGAAGAAGTTTTTTCTCATATTCAAGTGGAACCTCCTATGTTCCAGCTTGAACCCATTGCCCCTTGTCCTGTCACTAGATGTCACAGAGAAGAGCCTGGCTCCATCCTCCTGACACTCACCCTTTACATATTTATAAACATTGATTAGGTCACCCCTCAGTCTCCTCTTTTCCAGGCTAAAGAGACCCAGCTCCCTCAGCCTTTCCTCATAAGGGAGATGCTCCATTCCCTTCATCATCTTTGTGGCTCTGCGCTGGACTCTCTCCAGCAGTTCCCTGTCCCTCTTGAACTGAGGGGCCCAGAAGATACATCAGAAAATATGTTAAAATACTGTTTGTATAGGATGTACAAAAACATAATAAAATATAAAGCATCTCATTGTATTTGAAAAATGTTTTCTTTTTTTTTCTAGAAAATGGAATAAATGGAACAGTGACCTCAAATGGAGCAGACTCGCCTCGTAGCAGGAAGGATAAATCCTCGTAAAACTGGGTTTTATTAAGTTAATTGACTAATGTCCCCAAAGAATCTGCTTTTTACATGGATGGCCCTTCAGCACTAGAGATGTTATGGATTAAAGAAAATACAATTCATGTTTTTTGATTATTGCTGTTGTTTTGAGAAACTTTTTTTAAAAGCCATTTTGACTAAGAAAAAGGTTTATCTGTCTTCAAATACGGGGGGGGGGGGAATAAAACACTTTTTAAATAACATTGACACTTTTTTAAACATTTATTGTGATGAATTAACTTCACTTAATGAGTATCACTGTTGCAATGTATTATTTCCTTCCAGTTTTTGTAGTCTTGGTGGTGATATATACTGTTCTACCAACTTCACTTTTCCCAAGTTCTTCAAGAAGTATTGCAAAATTGAAGTAAAAACTTAGTATGCATTTTCAGATACTCTGGCTTTTCAGTTCATTGCCTTGATTCAAACTTACCGTTCAAATTGGGATTCCGAGACCACACCAATAAATCTCTTGATTTTGTGGTTATTAGCTAAACAATGTCTGCTCTAAGAACTGCCCCGTATCATTAAAAAAACTGAACTAATTGGAAATGTTGCAGAGTCTTATTGTTTGTTGGTTAGAAATCTCTTATAAGGAACAAAAAACCTTTTTGAGATATAGCTTTAGCACTTGAAAATTAGAAGGGAGCGTGTATGGTCATAGAAAGAGTTGATTTGAGTAGCACTGTTAACTCCTGTCTGTGCTTTTACAGTGTACATATCTTGGAGAATTAGTGTGCATTGGACCTTCTTCGAAAACTTACTGTCTGATTTTAGAGGGTGGAGATTCTTACAATGTGTTGTTGTGTTTGTTTTGGGGGGCATTTAATGCTCCATGAAGAGGGAATTTAGTAGATAAATGGATCGAGTTATGAGAACATTCCTTTATTCTAACTGCTTTGCTTTGTTTCACCTCTCTTAGGAAATAATTTGATATCTCCTATATATATATTTTTATGAAAAAATATTTAAAAGCTACAACTTCTTAAAACTGATTTATTGTGCCCCTTGCTACAACTGGAGAAATCTTAATTTAAGATTTTTTCCGTTATCTGTCTTCATAATTGTATTAAATGTGAAGCTTTGTCCAGTTAATTTTCCAGTTTAATATGCAGTTAATGTTTCCTCTGTACCCTTTTGTGATGGGTATAATTCAACCCATTTCACTTGAGAATGAGTTAGAGGTTTAATTCAGTGTTAAGAAGAAGTTGCTAAATTAGTCTTTCAAGTTAACCCAGGTATTGGACTGCCTATTGATTGAGAGGAGTAATTATGAGCAATCAAGCTGATAAAATAGTTTTAATTAAGAACTTACTATAGTTGAGTTTATACCCAACAAAATAATGAATCTGCATTCTGTATCTTCTACAGTTCGGTTGCTTACTATACAGAATAAATGTTTCTAGTACTAAAACTTCACTACAAATAACTATCCATTCTTCAATTGTTTAGTACTATTTGGAGTTATTGCAGTATAATTTATTATGCTTTGGCTAATTTCAGTCACAGTTCCCGAGTACTTGCTTTACAGCTCCTGAAGTGAACTTGACAGACTTGGACTTGCTTAGCTTGAGAATTCTGGGGCAGCGTGCCCTGTAAATATGCCCAGTCTGCTTCAGTGTAAGTAGCTGTATCATGTCTTGATTTGAAGAAGTAAAACTCAAGTGGTGAGGCTGCGAATCTATCTGATCTGACCATGAAACTGGAAAATTGGAACTCAGAAATTTTGAGGGAATTGCATACATTAAATAGTCACTGCACAAAATCATGTTTCATGTCTGATGTTTCTAAAAAGACCTTCATAGATTCTGTGTGCCTTGCTCTCAATTTGTGTCTTTTGGTTTTAAGGGGCATATTTTTAAAGTTTCTAGTCTGGTACTTTGACTCCAAATCAGTTTGCTTGTGCTATCAGGTTGTACTGGGGCTGTCAAAATGATAAAGGGTAGAGAAACAAATTACGAAGGGAGAGTTCAAGATACTTCATGAGATCTTTTAGACTTATTGGTGTCTGAGGGTTGTAATTGTTGTTGCCTGAAGGCAAACTGTTTCTTGTAAACCTCATTCTATGGCACAGTAGTTTTGAAACGTAAACTTAAGTTCACTTCCAAAAACTTCAAAAGAGTATATTCTTGTCTGTTAATACTGACCTTGCTTTTTGTCTTCATTGTGGAGTTAAACCACGAAATGGCCTTATGGACGTTCTTGGCCTTTAGACCTTTAAAAAAGCACTTTTCTTCCCACAGTGGCTTAATCTTCATCTTTGCCTTATAGGAGTTGTTGCTTTCTGACAATTAATAGGGAATAATTTCAGTTGTATTAGAATTTGGATAGGGTATTGGAAGCCAGTATCTTTTGTCTCTTGTGTCATAACTAAAAATACATTTTTATCATTTTGGATGAGGCAAGAGGAGAATTTTTTTATTTACTACCTTGGAGTGGAAACCTCCCTGAATTTAAAAGATTTTGAGACTTCTGTTTCCAGTTTGATATTAGTTGTTTTGGCATAAGATTATTGTTTGCCTGGATAACTTATTTTGAATTGCTTAAAACCAATTTTCAAATGTTACTGCATTTTGGCTCTTTGTTTGTAATCTGGAATTCCATAAACTGGAAGAAGATTAGTTGTCTAATCATGTTTTCAGAATTATGGAATCAGGAAAATTAGAAATTGAAATTACTGACTATCTCATTATTATATTCCTATGCCTAATAAAATAATTCTTGCTTAGGCTGTAGTAATTTATCCTGGTCAGTTACCAGGTCCCACAAAGAGAAGGCTTTTTCTGTGTAGGTGGATTTGAATTGAGTAATTCATACAGACTGTGGATAGGGCTTGTTGTTTTTGTTTTCCTTAAACCTCCTCCTCCCTGCCCTGTCTTGTCAGAACTTTTCAGGACTTAAACCAGATTATTTCAAGCTCCCATCCCCCCCTCAAAAAAAAGTGTTTTTTGGTTACATGCCAGAATCTACTACCAAAACGAGTATTTAACTGAGTAATTATATGAAACTTCAAAGTACAGACAAGGAATGCAGAGCAGCTGAAATTAATTTTCAGGTTTTGTTTTTATCTGGACACTTTCTCCTCTTGGCTAGTTGCAAAGATTGATTTCACCTGTGTGAGCTATTCATGACTGTGGCTCTTTCGAAATACTGCTTTTCAGGTGATCCCATGCCCAAATTTAGGAATGATTAGGGGATTTGCCATGCAGACAAAATGCATAGGCATTTCTGCTGACGTTGGAATATGCTGAAAGTAAATTGTGGTGGGATAAAGCATTTAGAAAATCAGTAGTTACCGGTGAGCATTTGGTATTTTTCCTAAATGCTTTTTTCTTTGAAAATTTTAGTTGTGTTTATGGGTTTTATTGCCCAGAATTGTAATAAGCGGTGTGGTGCTTTTGTACAAGTAATTGGACTTCTGTGGAAAGAGTTAATAAACATCTGCAGTCCTCTGGCTCTTTGCAGTTTTCTAACTGTACCTGAGGTGTTTTTGTCAGGGGCAAAAATTGATATTAAAGGGAAGGGAGCATTTTCGTGGTTATGCTAAGCTGAAAGTAATGTAGGTTGCTGACAGAGTTGGGGGTTTTGTCCCTTGCCTTGTCTAGCACAAGCCTTTTTGGTTGCATGGTGAGCTAGATCAGGGAGCTGGTGTGGCTGAAAACGGGCTTTTTTTACTTAGTTGCATTTCCACTGGGCTAGTTGCCTAGTAGTAATCCTGGAGGTACACAAGTATTTCTGTGTAAGCAAAAAGAGAAGATGCAGGGAAAAGGTGAATCAAGCTCTAAGACAGCTACCCCTTCCAACTGCATGTTTGGTTGAAAATTCCACTAGATTACAGTATGAGTTGGGAGATCTCATTGAAGGGCTTTCAGTCATCAATACCTGAGGGGAGCTGGTCCCTCTGGTAGCTCCTTACATGCCAAACCGTTGAAGCGTTAATGGATTTTTGTCAGATACTGTGGGAGAAGGGGTAATACTCGATACACTTTACTGTACTGGGATACCTTTTATGTATCATAGTTCTGGGATTTCCAAGCAGTGCAAGATGATAGTGGTAGTGTAGAAGCAGGAATTCTGAAAATGTAGTTTCTCTTGGATCAAAAAAACAAGATTACTTTCCATAACAGCCAGGAAACTATGGCTTTTTTTGGTGTGGCTTTTTTTTTTTTTTTTTCTCTGCATGAACACTTTATGTGTTGGTCTTCCAGAGAGCTTTGCAAGAATTGCACTGTATGCCTGTCAAGGTACGTGGAGGAGGAGGGTTGTTTAGTTTCTCGTATTTTGTTTTCTTGTTTTCAAGATGTTCACCAGCTGATTCCTACGTCATACTTGGGTTTGGTTCTCTTTGTGACTCAGTCCTTTGGGCCTGTGCTGTAGAAGATGGAGACAGGCAGCTTCAGCAGGCTCCCTGCATGGTGTTGGTCGTGGCTGTCCTAATTGTTCTCTGTGGAAAATGTTGGTATTGAAGGGACTTGAACACTAAATAGAGACAGTTTTGATATTTGTAACGTTTGTAGGCTGGTGACATCCTACATGCAGAGGTCCTGCATTCCAGGGGGCTGAGGTTTAGTGCCTGGAGGCTGTACTAATAGTCCTCTTGTTACGCAAATACTTGAGTTGCTTCTTGTACAGGGTATAAGAGTGTCCTACAAAATCAAGGAGATCCTTTAAAAAGAGTAAGTCTTTAAAGGACTGATGTTAGTTATCATCTGTTCATCATACTGTAATTTCTCACATTGTTAGTTGTGAATTATCTTTAGAGCACTGGATTAGCCCGTGCTTGGGGTTTTTTTTTTCTATACTGTAGGTGGTTGTGGTGGGTATCCTTCCTTCTCATTGCTCCCTGAACTGCTCGGTTTAGGATCTGATAAGCCTAGTTCTGTGCACATTAAGGAATTTGGTGTGCTCTTCAGAACTAAAATAGGAGCAGTGCTGGAGTGGTTCTGGATCAGACATATGAGAAATAAGCACATCGATATTAGGTGTCCTCAGAACCCACTTAATGGGAACTGAAACCCTTTAGGATTAATACATTACGGTACAACTTGTATTGCAGTGTAGTGTTTGGATATAGCTCACATCCAGAGCGAGTGCCTTCATGGATGAAACGGAACTGCTATCAGCATCTACGTCTGTTCCCCTTCTGGGAACGACAGGTGAGGAGTGCTGGGCTGCAGCTGCAGTAGGCTTCTTTCTGCCTTTTATAAGAGTTCTTTTGATGTTGACAAGACAAAAGGCAACAACTCTTATTTCAGGTTTAAAAAAAAAATAAAACATGCTACCTAGTTTTGAATCCAGTACACTTGCTCTTGATCTCTTCCTATGTGTCCTGTCACTTTTATTTTAGGTTTCTGCAAATGCTTTATTTTTATCCAGCTCAAGGATGGCAAATCTGTGATGTGAGTGCCAGAAATGACAACTCCTTTTTCTTCTTTCTGTGTTTGAAACTTTTTGCAGAATCAGATCATCTAAAGTGTAGCTTTAGAATTTGATAGTTTTTCAGTATTCTTTTTTTTTTTATCCTTTTTTGTTGTGTTTATCAA